TCCATGGCTACTTTCTGCAGTTATTTGTACCTTGAATTTCTCATTAGTATGTGCATCATTTGTATGGCGGTCATTCCGGAGATTTAGGGCATGATTCCATAATCACTTATTTTCACTTTTATTGATATAAACAGCAAAAACTCTTCCTCACCCTGCTATTTATTTTAGGGCAGGGGAAGAAGGTATATTTTCTGAGTTCTTTCTCCTTTCTGTCCCTGAAAGATTATTTTCTGAACTTTTTTACATTATATGTACATTTTATACTTTCATCCATTATCATAGGTTGAACTATTGGCTCTTGCAGATGATTCTATACGTCAGTTTGTTTTGTTTTTAATCTCTAATACATCATTTAGAATTGCCTTCTAAAAATTCCTCAAAAGAAAAATTCTAAAAGAGCATTAATCAGTTATTCCAAGTACAGATACTTTTTCTATTTTCCACACATCAGTTATCGGTTCTATATTGTTCTGGTTATCCCATTCAAAACTGCCAACAGCTACAGCTGTTTCTTTCTTATCTCAGTCGCTAAATCCCATTCATTCTGTTCACAAAAGAGCTTTATCTTCTCTTGCTCTCCAATTCCACTGGTTCTTCCTAAGTAATATTATTTACATATGGGAATAGCTCCTGCTTTGTTGAAATGATCCTGATAAATCTTCTCAAAACAAGACTTTGATAATTCTGCTCCATTTCTTAGTATTCGTTATTATATTACCACAGTCTGCAAAATGAAGCCTAAACAAAATGATCCTGGCAGTTATTTGCTGTCCTTTCTCTTCTGATCCAACCCCCAAGATATGGCCCTGTCTATTTCTTTTCAGTTTGGCTTTTATTCAGTGAGAAGATAAATTTCAGCTCTAGGCAACTATTCTTCATTCTGAGTTTTGTTGATAGGTTTTACCCCTAGTTTACTTCTAAAGCCATAAGGGTAGCTGGCATGGGTACATATGTGTAATCCAGCACTCCTGCTGGGCTGAGGCAGGAGGAGCACACATCTGAGCCCATCCTTGGTGACTTATGAGACCCTGTATCAAAAAACAATTTTTTTAAAGGCTGGATTTGTAGCTCAGTGTAAATGCTCTAGGTTCAATCCCAGTACTGAAGAAAGAAACAAAATAAACAACAAAATCATAAGAGCACTGAGCATGAGAAAACACAAAAAAACTTGTTAAAACTGGAAAAATTATGAATAATAGATTTCTTACAAAAGTTTAAAAGCCTTTATTATCCTGCAACACAGTATATTTGATCATGAACTACCTTGTTCCTTGTTTTAGTTATTGTTATTTTCAAGCATACTTGAGGAGTGATTCCTTATGCAGTTTGTGCTGATGTGCTAACTAAAGATAAGTTCATACTATGTATATGACGCCAAGATTCGTCCTAGAAGGAAGAAAGTCAGCTAAGTAACACGGAGTTGTTGAAACCAACACTTAATAGAGTGGGAGAAGTGAGATGGGTTATGAGCAACTCAGTAATTTCAAGGTGAGATGAAGACTGGAAAATCAGTGGGAAGTCAGAGACAGGACTTAATGCAAGAGTTGATAAGCATTAGGGAGGAAAACTTTTCTTTTCTTTCTTTCTTTCTTTTTTGTTTTTGTTTTTGTTTATGAGGCACTTTAGACAGATTGCAGGAAAGAATACTAGAGACCAGGGAGGAAAAGAAGGAGGGAATTGAAGTAGGAGTCAAAGATGAAAAATTGTCATTGTAAGTGTGAGGGTTTTTTCAATAGTGAGAAGGCACTAGTATTGAAAAGGGCTTCCCGAATTGGCTCATCTCAGGGGACCTAAGGTAACAAACTAATGTTCTGGTGACAGATAGTTTTCTGTTGCCTTTCAATAAAATGTGAAGTAGAGCACTCTGATAGCAGCTCAACAAATACAAGGGCTTTGACATTTACATGCACTTACTGGAATCTGCCATATATGCTTCTATCTTTAGACACAATCAAAAATACCTTGTAAGTCCTTGATTAATGTAGTTTTTCATTTGTAAATAAAACTGCAAATGATAATGAGAACAGAGATCATGTAAAGCTGGTATTTTTCAGCTTTCCATTTTTCCATCTGTACGTTCAATAGTAGATATGGTTTTCGGTCCACCACGGGAGGGACGGGGTGGGAAAAGATTTCTCTTAACTCATAACTGGAAAGTTGTTTCATTTCTTGAATTTCAAGGATGAGAAAACTGAGATGAATAGGATTTCTGCAACTTGCCTGAAGCCCTGTTGCTTGCCCTGTGATCATGATCACAGATTCAGATTGCCTTTCTTTCTACTCCTTTATTTCACAATGTCTCACAGGGCCCAACACCCAAGCGATTTTAACTGTGGATGTTTCCACCATTAACTACATCATCTTCCCTTCTTTCGTGTTAGTAGGAGCCATTAATAAGAAGGATTTTTTCCTCTTTCATTTTTTTGAATGTTTACACTTTGTTAACACCGTTACACTCCACTATCACTGCTTTTTAGCCGTATGGGTTTGTAAATTCACTTTGTGTCCCATAATACCTTGACCTTACTTTGCTTCCCTTCTCACATAACAATCACTCGCCAAACCTTGTTGATTTTCTTGTATTGTTTTACTGTTTTGGAACTGGGGATCAAACTTGGGTCCTTGCACTTGTAAGGCAGGTGGCAGAACCACTGAGTTAAATCTCTGGCGCAGTTTTACTTCTATCCACACTGTCACTACTGTAGTACAAAATTAAAATGCCTTTCCTTGCAATACTAGAGGAGTCTGTTCACACATTACCTGTCTTAAGGACTTTTTAAATTTTCTCTATTTCAGCTTTTATAATGCTGCCGGATGAATTTGCTAATGACCAGATTTAGTGTTATACATTTCTATTCAGTAACCAACAAGTACTTTTGCTTAAAAGGACTGTTGCCTTCTTAGGCTGATACCCAAAGATTTCTATCCAAGCTACCCTCAAAAATCTGTCTCCAACTACACCTCAAACATTTCCTTTTACTATTACCTATCATGACCCCTTCTTTCCAGGCAAATCAAGGTTTAACCATTTTTATATCAGATCCATATTTTTTGGAAACTCTCAGATTTTTCCCTCTGCCTTTCATCATATTTTTGGCTCTGAGATTATTTACCTTGTCAATCTCCAGATGCTACTGTCTGTCTTTCCTGAGTATCTCTTATATCTGCTTCCTTTTTTGGTTTCTGCCATTGACATTGAGCCCTAAAGTTTCTCTCCTGGCCTGCAGTTCTCTTTCTTCTCACATTGCTGCTATGATCATTTTGCTTTGGTGGCAATTGCTTCCTGGCTTGGAAACTTTTTCTGCATTCCATTTGCTATAGCTACTTATTTAGCATAGCAGTCAAGTCGTGTCTTTGTCATTTCATGTCTTTCGTACTCTTATTTCTTGCTCTAGCCCTCTCTTGTATATGCTTTGGCTCTATCTTGTATGTTAAGTTGTTGCTCTTTGCTGGTATATTCTTTTCTGGAATATTTGCCCCTGCCTTTTCTACCTTACAAATTTCTAGTTCATCCTTTAATCTGCTATTCAAACATGACTTCCTGAAGCATTTTCCCGAGCACCCCAGACAGATCCAAGGTTTTCTCTGTGTTACATTGTTACTGGCTTTCAAGTGATTCATGCAATAATGCAATGACTATTTTGCATTATGGCGTTCATTTCAACTCAGTGCATGTGAGGCTGCACTTTATTCATATTTGTACTGCTAGCATTTAACACGATGAGAGTACAGTAAAAATTTATGATTTGATTGAATTGAAATAAACTTCAATATATGAAAGCCCAACAGATGCGCAAAGCATCATCTAAATGGAGTAGACTTTGCCAGGATAGTCTGCAGATGCACCTTCTCTTCCATCATCCCAACCGGGAAGAGTGCTCCCTTCCTCTGATGTCCAGACTGACACACGTCATTTCCGTTTTGATAACTGGGGGAATCTTTTGTAAAGTCTGTTAAGAAAATTTGATTAAACATCTTTTATCTCATAACATTTAATTCCTGTGGTTTGCACTTAGTAGAAAATAAGAATAGGTAAAATGAATGAATGGGTAAAGTGAATGGAATGCATATCTTCTCTAATGCATATTGTCTGGAAAACTTAAAGAAATGGAGAAATTTGGAGTAATTTATCCTTTTCATTTTAAATGTGAGATGACCAGCTTCAAAGATATTGTGTCATGTTTTCACGTTCTTAGCACTAAGGAAAGAAAAATTAGGCAAGAATCAGTTTCTTGTCTCTAGAAATTTTTTAATGTATTTTCTAGCAATGTTTTATTTATTTTCTGGTATATTGCTCTTCCTTTTCAAGTACATCTTGCCATACTAGTATTTTTGATATAGTATATGGTAAATGAATAACTTAATTTTTGCAACAGCAATTATGTAAATTATATTTGTACATAAATATTTTTAGAGAATTTTCTACTTGGATAAATTACTATTTTTAAATGTGACCATAATAACATCCTGGAAAAAATCTCACCAGATTAAGGAAGAAGATATATAAGGGTTACAGAATAAGAGTGTCCCATTAAACATATTCATTATTATTTGTAAGAAGGAATCCTAAAAAGAAACTATGAAGACATTTGCTTTTAGTTTTAGAAATCATTTAGAAAAGTGACCTATATTTATTATTTTATTTTATTTCAAAATCAACACTAGCATGTAATTGTTCATATAAAAATATGCAAAATTTAAACAATATCTCTTTTGTCTAAGTAGCTAGATTTTTATAAGCAAATCACCTTATGAATTTATCTGAGTACATATTTTGCACACTGCGTCCATGAACATGGCATTCATTTATTATGATTTCTATTTTGTATGGATAATTTGATCCCCTTTCTGTGAAAAATTAGCAATCATTTCATGTATTCAGATTTACTAGTGAGATAAAAGCAAGAATATGTTATTGCTTTTGACTGCCCCAAACAGTGCATTCTCAGAAAATCTTAAATGTAGTTTCTAACTGTCTTTTGATGTTTTCTGCTTAAAAGGTGAATAAGATCTGTGGTCGTCCGGTAAGAGCACCCACACAAAGCCCCCGTTGTTCTTTTGATCCAAGTAAAGAGGGGCATGGAATGAAGATCTCTGTAAGGAATGACGAAGAGACGCTTGCCAACAGAAGAAAGTAAGACATTTGTTTTACAACCAGAAAGAGAAAAGAAAGTAAGCCATTAATTTTACAACAGAATAGAATGTACTCATTAAGTAGACCCTAGTACAGAATGGGAGAAAAAAAAATCAACATTTATGAACTTTAAAATCCAGTGGCTCCACCTGCTTCATTTATCTGAAAGATAAATTCAGCTTGTGAGACCAATCAAAATCCCTATGGTAGTAGAAGTTATAATTCTATATAATATGGCAGATAATATATAATATATAATAATATATATAATATGGCAGATCCAGGTACATGTAATCATTTTGTGTGCAGAATGATTGGTGTGACTGAAGATTGAATTTTCAGCTTAATTTTAGTTACCTATCATCTAAATTCTATAAATGGCTAGTGGACTATATAAGGCAGAATACATTTAAATGATGTGATAAGTACAGCTGAATATTTAAGATCTCTTAACGATAATTAGATAAAAAGAAGTGTTTTACTTTTTTCCTGGAATGCTGAAAATAACTGTTGATACAAACTAGTAAGCATTGATTAGCGTTGCTTCTACAACTTATATTTCTGCTACTATGCCACCATTATTTCACATGTTAAATTCAAGCCTTCATTGTGTTTCTTTTCTTAATAATTGGTACTTACACTCAAAACTCTTGAAAATTTAGGAAATATGACTTTTTCTGTGTAGTAAACCAAGATATGGCCTGGGAATACTAGATTCTCAGTGTTTTTTTAATTGAACTAAAAACCAGAATTTTATATATTTGCTTATTTGTTCAAATAACCATTTATAATAATACTTTATAGACAATTCATACCTACAACATTTTATGTACTTTAATCTCTGTTGTCTAAAATCTGTTTCTTGTCTTTTTGAGGCAACAAATGCCTCATTATCTCCTCAGCTGGTCTATAAGTGCTGGGTCCAGAATGGGTCCAGTGGCTATTTGCTAACAGCTCAAAAGAACTGATGCTTTGTATGTAATACAGCTGTTCTTTCTTCTTCTTCTTCTTCTAAAAACCTATAAAGAATAATCACCAGTCGTTTCTTGCATCTGAAAACTTGGTGTATTTTGCATAGGGTTTATTCTCAACAGAACAAAAACAAATGAACAAGCAAAACAAAACAAATTCTGTGGCTGAAGAAGATGCTCACTTCTTAAAGATTATGTATGTTGCAGGACCAAAACAACTCTGTCAAAAAACAAAAGAAAACTCCACACTTGGCCTTGTTTACTCAGTAATGAAATAAGCAGGCACAGTTGAAATGTTACAACAGTGAGAGGCTCATAGCGTGGAAAGTTTTAGCAGTAAAACTGGCCCCTGAATTGATCTCCTTTTTTTTGCCAATCTTGCAAGCTTACTTTTCTGTGTCTCTGAGCACTCAGCCACCCTCATCCATCAGCCATGCATGGGATGAACACATCACAGGCCCAGATTTATATTGCCTGGAGTCCAGACAAAGAAGACTGCATACGCGCCCATGTAAATATTTCAATTTGACACTGCTTCTTAAAAGATCACTATTCAAGCTGGGGATGGTGGTGCAGGCCTGTAATGCCAGCACTCGGGAGGCTGAGGCAGGATTGCTGTGAGTCGGAGTCCAGCCTGGGCTGCATAATGAGTTCCAGGTTAGTCTCAACTACATAGTGAGAGCCTGTCTCAACACCCCCCCCATCACTATTTAGTAGTGCTTAATTGTCATGACAGCCTATTTTGGCTTCTGGCCTATATAGTGTGCTAATCTATGCATATACTAACTCTGAATTTTATTTATCTTCCTTAACTGATTATTCCCCAAGGGGGAAATTTCAGTTGAAGTAGGTTTGATGATATAGCCGGAATAGGTACCTAGTCTGGGTGCATTTTCATGTATATTAATGGTGTTTTGGTCTCTTGAGCCTAATTTTCAACAGATCATGTCCTCTTGATGATCTATTATTTCTTTATGAACTTAATTTTATAGCCTGACATATCAGACACATTTAGTTCATCCTAGGCTTCTTGGATTGCATACTGTGATAATCCCAAGTGCGTAGTTTCTCTGAGGGCCAACAGTAGACCAGCTTAACTAACCAACCAACCAGCAACTAGGCAAAGCAAGAAATTTCATGCAGTATTTCATAGATATACTTAGGTTATCTGGCCCAGGCAGAGCTGCTTGCAAATGAGCAAGCAACAGAACCTTTTCTTCCACACAGAAAAATGTTGGGGGTTATCTATAGATAGGCTATAGTGACACACTCAAGAACTTATTTTAACTTGCTCTGGTGGACAGCATATACAAAGGAACATCTGTAATTGGGGTCAACCTGCGACTCTGCTTATCATAAACCAACCATCCTTTAGTTTGGAAGACCAGCCAAGCAGGTGAGGTCGATGCTAGGGTTTAGGAAACACTGCCTCCACATTTCTTACAACTTTGATGATGGTCCTAACTTCAGCAATTCCTAGGGCTCAGCTGTTCTTTTGTTTTACTACTTTTGTAGGGAGAGGCCGTTTTATAGATTTCAATTTGGCCTTCTGCACATCATGAGTTTGGGAAGCAATATGGAGATTGTACAAAGGGCAAGTAAGACTGCGTCAGACTTGTGTTGAAAAGGATGAAATGAATACAGGTCTTCGGCCTCACGGGTCCAGTAAGAGTGAAGCTGAGCCTAGAACCCTATCTTTATTTGACTTCTATGAGCTTCCGGTTAGGTTGACAGAGCATAATAGTAGTTTGGATCAGCAAGGTAAAAGCCAGCTCAGAGCTAGTGTGTGGGAATTCTCGAGAAACACATAGAGGGAGTGTTACACTATATCATGTAGTGGTTATTCAGGACTCTTTCTCAAGGGACCAAATCTTTCTTCCCAGGGGTTGCCCTGAAGCTGTGAACAGGGAACTAGGTGAGAGACTGAATTCCTTTTGAAATCGATAAAAGTGATTTCTTTTTTCCCTCTATCATTAATTTCAAAGTATTTTTCTTTTCCTTTTGCTACTATGAATTCACATTACAGTCTCATTTTGTCAATCTAAAAATATTAACTTTAGCCTTTAAAATTTATATTACTTCTTATAGTTCTTTGGGTTTTTTTTGAGTTCATTCTTTTAACTGGTTTCTTATTAGATTCCTTTTTAAATATAATTTAGCCATTTGTAGGGATTCCTTTTTTATGGTCTGTATACTACTTGTCAGTCTTTGGATTTGCAAACATTTTCTATGATAAAATTTCACTTGAATATAAGCAAAATTTATTTCATGAGTAACTTAGGCTAACATTACCTTTGTCAAATAAAAAGTCTTAACTTTGATATCAAGTGTATAAAACTATTTTGTTTAAAATTTTTCTGAACTAAATCAAAATATATGCTATTATAGTTTTTTTCTCATATTTTTTATAGAGAGAATGTTGATTTATATCTGCTACAAATAAGGTTCCAAATTTAAATTTTTAAAACTCTGAGCCATGTTTTCCAACATGTTCCTGAAACAATCCTTTACTTGTTTCTCCTTTTTCACCTTATACTCATTTTGGGTTCATATATAGTAGCTTTCATACGCAACTGCACTGCTCTGTTGTCTGCTAGTAAGCCCTATTAGAATAAATGCAGATAGAATAGGGCAGTGTGGCCAGTAAGGCAGGAATTGAGGAGTATGCCTAGCTCAACCTTCTGAATCCTTTCTGAGAAAACAAAGACATATTTGTGTCTGAGTATGTATTGACATTCCCATTATTATTTTAAAGTATAGATAAAAATGCTTTTTAAAGTCATGCTTCCCTAATTAGAGAATAGTTAACATGCCTTCAGTCAAAATTTTCATGAATGCTGGTAATAGACAAGTTTTCAATAATCTTTTTTGGTCATTTCATATGCTGAGGTCATTTTTTATTATAATGCTCAGTAGATATAGTAACTATATAGATAGAGATAAAATATAATTGACCAAGTATTGCTGTTGACTTGTTTTGATTTCTTGTTATACCTTCATTAAAAGAAAAGTTATTATAAAAGATAAGATATCAATATCTATATGACCCATCCAAAACAGTTGTTTTGTGTAATTCAAAAAAAGAAGCTAAAATGTATGTCAGTATTTCCTGCGTTAATTCCTATAAATTAATATTCTACCCATGATAGTTTTTCTTAGGTACTCATTTTTATTTACTTTGGCCAATTCTCATAATAATACTACTATTGAAAACTAATTTCTATAATTTGAAACAAGTTAAATTATTGAAAGTTGTGGATCAATAACTTAGCAGTTTCTGTAGTTTAATATAGTTCCAGTAGTGCCTTAAAAATAGACATAATAGAATGAGCCAGTGACTTTACTAATATGAATGAAAATATAACTATTTTATGTTTGCTAAAAATTTTAAATGCATTTTAAATAAGTCATAATATTTTGAAATTATATGGTTATGGTTTTTATGTAGCATATTATGCACTTTTTGTTGTTTAAAATTATTAGAATTGTGGCCTCCTAACTTAAAATAATTGTTTTAAGTTTTTGTGATGGAGGAAGAGTTGAACTTATAGTCTTCTTGTAGTCAAACAATTCTTTTGAGGTTATATGAATATAACTTAAGGGGCCAGAAAAATAGCTTCCCTCCTCTCTCTTCAGTTGTTTGGCTGGGATATAAATTAAAATAACATAAAACAGACTAACAAGAAAGGAATCATTTTAGTCATGAATGCAGTTGTAGTCTTCACAAAATCTGAGACTCAATGAAGGACCGGAGATTGAGCCTATGCAGACAGCATCTTGAGTACCAAAAACAATAGTGGCCTGGGTGTCCTAGGAGTGATGGAGGAAAACTATGAGAAGGTGATGGGAGAAAATGTATGGTGAATGAAGATTGCTTGTTTACTAACAGAAATTTCTTTCAAATGTGTAAATTTCCTTTACAGAAGGGCAGCTTTTTTTTTTTTTTTTATTGAGTTTATTGGTACATTTAGGGATACAGTACAGTTACATTCATTGTTGGGATCATGTACCTTTACATGGCAAGTCTTG